TGGCTTTATTCACTTCACCGTTCGATTGTTTTTTCGTACCATCACGGTCTATTCAACTTCGTCGCAAAGGGTTTTCCTCTCTTCAACACTCTGTTTCATATATCTCGGTAATCTCTAAATCTGATACCCCGTATAAAAATAGTATGGCTTTGCGATTCGCTTTACATCGATTTCAATTTCAATCCCTCACTTAGTTCATTCCTTTTCTGTTCTAATTAATCTTCTCAATGCACTACAATACATGCATTCTATACAGGGATGGAGTTATTCAAATCATAAAATGAGACCAATGTTGTCTTGCAATTCTAAAAGTTACCCATGAACCTGCAATTTGGTTTGATTGTGTTTTCTAAACATTGCATATGTGTAAAGCTGACTTATTAATTGGTGTTTGCTTTAAAACTTCTATAGTGTTGTATTTCAATTTTGTTGTGTGGAAATTTTGATAACTAGAAGTGGGTGCAAGTTTTACATCCAATTTTTTTTTTTTTTTTGGTGATTTGATGAATGGAGATGAGTTGAATTTGATAACTGCTAGCATTTATTTTGACAATATGGGTATTTTTTTTTTGGAGAAAATAAAATTATAAAGATTCAAAACATTGTGACTTGTGTGCTTTATATTATAGTTCAGATAACATAGATGTTTGTGCAATTTTTGGTGGGATTAGAAACAAAACATATGAAAAAATGGAAGCTACAATTTAGAATTTACATTACTAAGTATATATAAAGCAGATGCAGGAAAATCTGTATGTTTTGCATAGAGATGTGAAGGCCAAGGCCTAAGACACATGAATGCCAAGATTGGATTTTTGAAGAGAATTAACGGACTCTTTGGTTCAGACTTAGAACCGTGACTACAAAGCCGAGTCCGAACTGTAGCTAGGTCCCCTGCGGGCATGTTACAAATGGGTTGGTTTATTTGTTTAGAATCTAGTAAGTTTTAACTTTTGTGTAACACTTATTAATTAATTAAGTATTGCACAGGCATTTCTTGACTACCTTTATCCACTTCATAGCACTAAGCTAATAGTGAGAATCCGTTGAAGTCCAATGGGTGAGGGTTGTCGCTGTGATAGATGGAAGAAAGTATGCAGAAGTCCAGTAATGTGCTTTTGTTGTTAATCATGTTTGGTTACAATTCTTGCCAAAGCAACTGAATAGATGAGCAAATTAAGCCTAACACAAGTTTATCTACAGGGGGCGAGAACGGGAAGGACATAAGACTCTTTGTTAATAAAATCATAAGTTGAACTTCTAACTCTTAATTTTTATATTTGGAAATAACTTTATTGCATGGTTAGGACTAGCCAAGCGGGTCTACTTTGGAAGTAATGCTAACAGAATTAATCACACTGGTTTGTGGTCTTTGATTCAAAAGTTGGTGTGCATCACCAATGTTCATTTTGTGTATAGTTGTTTGTTATTTCACTCTAGCTGATATTCGGCATTCAAATATTGGAGATACTAGTTCTTCTAAGTGAAGACCAACAAACTTCCAATTTTTGATTTTTGGAAACTGCATACTTACGTGCATGCAACCCACATTCACACAGACACTACAAAGAACAATAAACTTTAATAGCTTTTTTTTTTTTTTTTTGATAAATAACTTTAATAGCTTTTACTGATAGCTTATTTCAACCTTTATTATGCTAAACAAGTTACTTGACATTGTACTTTCAATATAGGCATAGTCCCTCAATTATTTGTAAAGAAAAGTGTCATGGCAGAAAAGTTGTTCAGAGGCTTTCGTCTGCATGTCTCAACCAGAAATGGCTACAATGGGGCTTGATACTATGTGTTCATGCTGATCAATTCATTTGAGATTACCGTACTGTATGTTGGGTGCAACTTTATCAATCTCTATGCTCACGACAAAACTTTGCTTCTGATATTTGCTGGTGAATATGAGAGTACTGGGCTCTACTTTGATACTTATTCCACTAGGAACAACCACAATTGCTCGATAAATGGCTGTATCATCTCCCACATTCGTCACAACCCTGCTGAAGGTTTCTGCTGTTACGGAGCTGGTGTTTCTGGGAAATATAGTGATAAAAGAAGGGTAATTGAGATCGGTGGGATTTTGGTTGCAACTCCATTGATTTCTTCTTAGGACAGCACTCATTTGCTTCTTATTGTAGCCAAGACGGCACAAGAAGTCAACATAATCCTGGAAACCCATGTTGTAGATCAACCTAGGATCCATTGCTTTGTTCGGATTGATATGGCCAGCCCCGAAGTCCAGAGGTGTGGCAGACAGTCCAGTTAATTGGTCTTTCAAGGCTGTGTCTGTATTGTCAAGTGTATTTGCAGTGGTCATGATAGCTGATCGGATGGCTGCAGGGCTCCAATCATGGTGAACGACCTTTAGTAATGCTGTAACTCCTGCAACATAGGGAGTTGCCATTGATGTCCTTGAGATGAATCCATAATCAGTGACCATATTATAGTTGCCTACTTTGAAATACGCCTTGTTGGGTACAACTGCTGCCAGAACATCTTGCCCTAGAGCGAGGATATCTGGTTTTAGAACACCTAAGAAAAAAAGTCTACTTGAGGTGCTGGTTTTGTCCCCAAAGTCGTTATCATGAACTTCATGCTCTTTACCTTTGCGTTATTTTCACTAGTTACATACTCCTTTACTGAAGCCCCATAATTAGTATGCAGAACCAGGCTAGGAATGGAAAACTAGGCAGGAATGTAGTACTGTGGATTTGAAGTCACCATGTCTCCCACAAATATTCCTGCGTATCCACCTGTCCTTTCAACTTTTGTCATCTGTCCAAATATGTCAATGTTGGGGCTTTATCACATAGGACTACCTTTCCGGCAATCTCATCTGAATCCAAAGCTGAAGCATTGCATATTGCTTTGCTTAGGTTGCCTTTCCCATAATAAATAGATGTGTTGGTAACATAAACACTTGCTGGGAAGTATGATGTGCCTTCCATGGTTAACCCATTTTCTAGGTTTAATGATGCGACATTGTTCGATCAATAGTACCAGCACCTACTGTGATGATCCATGGTGCTCTGTCGAATATTGTGTTCTGAGCCCCCTTTATTTCCAGCAGCACAGACGATGACAATTCCTTTTTCTATTGCTGAAAGTGATGCAATGGCTATGACATCCTCAAAATAAGGTGTTTTGGGTAAGGCTAGAGACAAAGACATGATGTCTAACCCATCGACAATTGTTTGGTCCATGCCAGTGAGCACGTCGCTCGCTGCAATCTCAACTGTGCTTGTTGACCAGAGGACTTTGTACATGGCAACGTGTGCACTCGGTGCTACTCCTCTGGCTGTGCCTCTAGCATACCCAAAGTGACTAGCACCAAGTACGTAAGAACTTGCTGCTGTGGATGCCGTGTGAGCCGTGACTATGGTAGTCCCTGGCTGATTCAAAGTCGTCTTCCTTGGAGATTTGTTTTCCCGATGCAAGGAGTCCTCTACTAAAAGATCGAGCTCCAATGAGCTTCATGTTGCAGTTAGAAGGGCTAAAAGCTGTGCCATTTTCACACTTGTTTTTCCTTCTCTCTGGCACTTGGCATCCCTATGTCAGCAAAACTCTCTCTCTAGCCAAACTCTGGTGTAGATTATTTCTATTATCATGCCTTTGCCAAACGATGAAGCTGGCCAGACTCCAGTTTTGTGCTTTAGGCTGAGGAACTTTGGGGTACGGGTTGTTAAGAGTTTGCCAAAGGACTCTTGATAGGTGGCACGATGAGCTAGGGATTTCTCAAGTTTAGAGAGTTGAGAGGGTGTGAGCTTGGCACTGAACCCATGCATGACATGGTTGTACGTGTAGAACAGCTTTTCTTCATCGTCAAGTGTAGAAGAAAACACGAGTTTAGGGTGGACCAGTGCCATGAATCGTGGGTTGAGAAGGATGCGGGTTTCTGTGAATGGTCCATGTGGATGATGTATGTCTGGTATTGTTTTGGTTCTGAAGATGCATTGGTGAGCACCCCCAGTAGCAATAACATTATTAGCCATAGCAATGCAAGGTTCAAAATCTGAATGTGAGAAGAGTTGGTCATGGCTAGCTAAGGAGATTGGTAGGTTAGCTAATGAGAAACTGAGAATTTGAACAACCATTTATAGTACTACAAAGATATCTCCCTTTTAATTTTATATTGTTTCTCTTTTGATTTTTGATCTCAAGTACTTGTCCACAGATATTCGCATGCTTTGACATTCTAGTTGTTCAGTTGCTTGCTTGTGTTAACTTGATCAATATATTAGTCCATCATTTTCTTTTTTTCTTTTTTTTTTATTGATTTTGTTTGGAATAATTTCCAAATTTTTCCTTTGATTTTCAATAATTTACTTGTGCACATATTTTCTTATGCTTTGACATTTCTGTGCTTCATATGGTTACTTGTGTTAGAATGATCAACATATTTGTCCCTCCTCTTTTTTATTTATTTATAAATTTTTCTGAAAAAACAAGTGAGCTTTCCATTTGACTAATATAACTGGTTTTGATTTTTGAATAATAACTTCTAAATTTTTCCTTTCTTTTTTCATAGGCTGGATGGCCAAAGGTTACCACCGTTGTACCTGAACCAATCATGATCTAGCAAACCACAGTGGATCTGATAATTAAAGGATCACCACAAAGCTGTCCACATAGAGCACTGTGTTGGTACCCAATGTCATTATCTGGGACTGCTTTAAAAATAGACTAGCGGGGTGTGATGTCGAATGCCATAAAAAACATAAGTGAAACTCTTCCTATCACCAATTAGTTTTAGGAGAGATGGTAAAATTCAGTCCGACAAGCGGTATCAAAGTTAAGTTGTCATGAGTTCGAGTTATAGAAGCATCATAGTAAGGGAGGGATTGTTGGTACTTAATGCTACTTCCTATGTATTGGCCTGCGGGGCATGATGTCAAATATCATAAAAAATATAAGTACAACCCTTCTTATCACCAATTGATCTGACACAATGATTGACGACACCAAGTTCTTGCTACAAGAACTACTTAATGCTACTTCCTATGTATTGGCCTGCGGGGCATGATGTCAAATATCGTAAAAAATATAAGTACAACCCTTCTTATCACCAATTGATCCGACACAATGATTGATGACACCAAGTTCTTGCTACAAGAACTAGATGCTGCATAAAGTACATCTCTTGTTGATTATTTTTTCTTCTTCTTACCAGTTGTTTGTTTTTAAATTTAAAAGATGTAATGAATCTGTCAACAGTTATAGAAAACTTTTCTTCAATTAAAAAATTTCCCTAGTCCAAATTAGATAATGTTCACATGTTTTGTGTGTTTACCTGCAGGTCATAGTATTCCACACAAGGGCTAGACTTGTCAGACAAGAAATGTATCTTGATATACTGTAGAAGCAATTAGTCTTCTTTTTATTTTTATTTATTTATTTTTTTGGGATGCCATGGACAGAGGGGTGTGTTCTTTCTTTAAAGGTACCGTTGGATGGTAATTCTCCCAAATAAAATATAGGATGGAACACAGAAGGGATTGACAATTTATAAAACTTGGTGAAATTCACTTTTGAAAAATTCCGTCCTGTAGACACAGTGAAATGAAGAAGATTCCTATAGCTGAGATGTCATATATTAATAGTAAATATTTCGTTTTATTTTTAGTTATTTTGAATTACACATGTATCGCGTGTCCCAACTGTTGGTGTTTTATAAAATATAATAAATTTTTAAAACTGTTTTTAGTTTTTAAAAATGAAAATAGACACCAAATAAAATTTATTACTATTTTTGTTTTTTGTTTTTTTAATGGACATATAAAAAAATTATAAATATAAATATTATCAAATAAGCACAGAAGCTTCAAGGTAATTATCAAACTCATAAATATTATGTTATAGGGCGAGTTACACTAACAGTCTCTATAGTTTGGGACTTGTGTCACTTTAATCCTTGACTTTTCAATTGTGACACATTAGACTTTGAATTTTGAATTTTGTTCCAAATAAGGACAATTGAAAATACTATTGCTCAATTTCAAGGGTAAAATTGTCAATTTGATAAAATATCAACTAATTTGACAAAAATAAATATCAAAAAATTATTTTTAAATTTTTAAAAATAATTTTTACCCACCAAAGATAAAATTATGTAAAATTGATAAATCTTTTAGACATCTATTTATTTATTTATTTTACTAAATTAATTTTTATTATATGTATGGATGATGATCATGTAATATGTGGTTGTTAGGTTTTTAATGTGTTATTGATATACTAAATAGGGATTTTTATTGATAAATCTCATTTAGAAGTGTTTTAACCCAAAAAGTCCATAAAGAAATTTATTAACCCATTTAGTCCCATGTATGTATAGTTTTATTCCATAAAGTCCTTTTTCTTGATTTAAACTCTTTTTTTAGACTCTTATACCCTTATATTACCCTTACAAATATTTTTTGAACACTTAGCAATTTTAGGATGTAAATATTCATATTTTAACATTCACATTGGTAAAAATGTAAAATTGGCCTGTGGCCCGTGGCCCGTGGGCAGTCTGAAGATCGCCCCCGGGGCGGGGCGGGGCGGGCCGGCCCGTTGGCAATGTGAATATTCACATTGACATGTTAACATTTACATTGATAGAAGTGTAAAATTGGCCCACGGCCCATGGGCGGCTCGAAACCCGCCCGTGGCCCGTGGGCTGCCCGGGCGGGCCCGGCCCGTTGACAATGTGAATATTCACATTAACATATTAACATTCACGTTGATAGGAGTGTAAAATTGACCCGCGGCCCGTAGGCGGCCCGAAACCCGCCCGCGAGCCCAGACCGGCCCGTTTACAATGTGAATATTTGCATTGACATGTTAACATTCACATTTATAGGAATGTAAAATTGGCCCGCGGCCTGTGGGCGGCCCGAAGCCCTCCCGTTGCCGGGGGCGAGGCGGGCTGTAAATATTCATATTTTAACATTCACATTGGTAAGAATGTAAAATTGGCCCATAGCCCGTGGCCCGTGGGCGGTCCGAAGCTCGCCCCCGAGCCAGGGCGGGCCCAGTCCGTTGACAATGTGAATATTCACATTGACATGTTAACATTCACATTGATAGAAGTGTAAAATTGGCCCACGACCCGTAGGCTGCCCAAAACCCGCCCGCGGCCCGTGGGCTGCCCGGGGCGGGCCCGGCCCGGCCCATTGACAATGTGAATGTTCACATTAGCATATTAACATTCACGTTGATAGGAGTGTAAATTTGACCCGCGGCCCGTAGGCAGCCCGAAACCCGTCGGCGGGCCCTGCCCGGCCCGGCACGTTTACAATGTGAATATTTACATTGACATGTTAACATTCACATTGATAGGAGTGTAAAATTGGCCCGAAGCCCATGGGCAGCCCGAAACGCGCCCGCGAGCTCGGCCCGACCCGTTTACAATGTGAATATTCACATTGACATGTTAACATTCACATTAATAGGAGTGTAAAATTGGCCCGCAGCCCGTAGGCAGCCCAAAGCCCGCCCGTTGCCCGGGGCAAGGCGGACTGTAAATATTCATATTTTAACATTCACATTGGTAAGAATGTAAAATTGGCCGGTGGCCCGTGGGCGGTCCGAAGCTCCCCCTTGGGCCGGAGCGGGTCCGGTCCGTTGACACTGTGAATATTCACATTGACATATTAACATTCACATTGATAGAAGTGTAAAATTGGCCTGCGGCCTGAAACTCGCCCGCGGCCCGTAGGCTGCCCAGGACGACCCCGACCCGTTGACAATGTGAATATTCACATTAACATATCAACATTCACGTTGATAGGAGTGTAAAATTGACCCGCGGCCCGTAGGTGGCCCGAAACCCGCCGGTGGGCCTAGCCCGGCCCGGCCCGTTTACAATGTAAATATTCACATTGACATGTTAATATTCACATTGATAGAAGTGTAAAATTGGTCCGCGGCCCGTGGGCCACTCGAAGCCTCCCGCGGCCCGAGGCAAGCTCGTTTGGGCCCAGGCTCGAGCCCAACCCGAGAACTTGGGCTAGGACCTGGGCCATCACTTTGAAACGCGGCCCGCATAAGGCCCATTTAAGGGTCGGCCCGAGGCCCGGCCCGCCAGAGGCCCGGTGTCTTTTTTGTGAAAAATAATAAAATTTTGGAAGAAAAAATTAAAAAGAATTAAAAAAAATAGCAAGGCTCACCCAAGCCCCACCCAAGCCCAAGTCTAGGCCCAAGCCCCTTGGCTCAACCCACCGAGGCACCCAAAGCCTGAATACCTTTGTGCCAGGGCTAGGGCCTAGGCCTAATTTTCTGGCCCGTGGGCCGGTCCGGCCTGGCCCGAATTTTGGCAAGCACCCACAAGGCTTTACATGGGTTGGCCCCGGCCCAAGCTGGGCCGAGCCCCTACACATTGATGATATGAACATTCACATTGACGGTGTGAGCATTTACATTGATAGTGTGAACATTCACATTAATGGTATTTTGGTAATTATGTCACCCATAGGATGTGAACATTCACGTTAGGGGTATTTTGGTAATTATGTCACTCATAAGGCTTATTGAAACATAAGAAAATAATGTGGACTAAATGGAACATATGTAGATGAAAAGGGTATTTTGGTCTTCTTACCTCAAATAGGAACATTCACATTGACGGTGTGAACATTTACATTGACGATGTGAACATTCACATTAGGGGTATTTTGGTAATTATGCCATCCATAGTACTTATTGAAACATAAGAAAATAATGTGGACTAAATGAAACATAAGTCGATGAAAATGGTATTTTGGTCTTCTTACCTCAAATAGGACCTAATGGAATAATAAAAAATAATATGGGTTGGATGGAATAAAGCTCTTAGAAAAAGGATTTATCAAAAAAGCTCCCTATTTAATATATGAAATATTTTTAGTTTTGGATTTTTTGATTTAATAGATTGGTTTAATAATGATATCAAAGTTATTGACATATTTGACTTTTGGAAAAAATAAAAACTAATTTAACAAAAATGAAAACCACCATCCATTACATGATTATCATCCAAACATATAATAAAAATTAATTTGGTAAAAAAAATGTCTAAAAACTTTATCAATTTTACATAATTTTATCTTTAGTGGGTAGAAATAAATTTTAAAAATTTAAAAATATTTTATTGACATTTATTTTTGTCAAATTAGTTGATATTTTATCAAATTAACGACTTTGCCCTTAAAATTGAGCAATTGTATCTTCAATTATTCTTATTTGAAACAAGATTCAAAATTCAAAGTCAAATGTGTCACAAATGAAAAGTCAATGACCAAAGTGACACACGGACCAAACTATAGGAATCGTTAGTGTAATTTGCCCTTTGTTATAATATTCAAAATGTTATATTTTGACAATCAAATTCAAGTATACATCATTTTTCTTAATTTTCTCATGTATTGTTGAATGATAATATTATTTCATTGTACCAAATGAAATATACTCTCGCCGTCCCGTATTATTTTTTCATCTTTTCCTTTTTAGATATCTTAAAATATTTATCCATTTTGAAAAGTCAAAACATTAAACTCTAGAGAATTTCAAAACTATTATTTAAAAATAATTATAAATATATTTAATAATGAAACTAAAAGAAGTACTATGATAAATTAATGGACAAGGGATGCCTGCTGTGTATACAAAACAGCACAGTTTTGAAATTTTTATTTTTTTTATTTGTATTTTTTTTAAGAGTGAAAGGGAGAGAGAGATAGCTGTTGGTTGGAAACAAAATAAAATAAAACCTTACAAATATTCAAAATTCACATGAGTTGAAATTTAATGTATATTTATTGATTGTTATATTTTTGATGTTTTAAAAATCAAACTAGTTATATTTCTTTTGACATTGATATTTATTAGAGTATAGCTACTTATATTTTATTATTCACAGATAAATATAAGTCAACTGCTATATATTTAGTATTTGGGTCAACTTATGCTTACCTCGAATCTCACAACTTTGGAATTAATTGGCGAGACTCAAATAGTTAGTTGATTTATCAATCAATCAATAAATAATATGTAATAATACACATCATTGCAAGTAAATTTAACAATAATATTTTAAGGATTTTATAATTTTTTAATTGGTTTGCCTAAATGAGAACAATATTGATGTAATTATTATTATTATTATTATTTGCAAAAATTTAAAATTTTTTTTTTACTTTAACCCTTTATGTCACGACCCAAACCCGCTCCTGTAGGTTTAGCGTCGTAACCGACCAGTAATCCACGGATTACCAAAGGTGTAATGCCCCTGTTCCGTAGTATGCCAATTGGTCCTTAAATTGAGTATGATTACGTGTTTACTATGATTTTATGTGCCACTATGTGAATATATGTGATTTTGAAATTTTATCTGTTCACCGTAGGAATATCTGTTTGAATAATCAGCTTTGGAAATATAATTGAGGGCCTTATCGGCCACAGAACCCGAAATTGATTACGCCATTGTGATTGGCATAATTTTTAGAGCCTACGGTGAAATTTAATCGAAAAATTGATTCGGGCCAGATTAAATTGAATTATTTAATGGCATTGTGCTAACATTGTTTAATATCTTAAATGTGGCTAGTGGGGCTTCT